CCCCTTCCCCAGCCCCTTCCCCTTCCCCAGCCCCTTCCCCTTCCCATGTCCCAGCCCCTGCCCGTGTCCCAGCCCCTTCCCCAGCCCCTTCCCCAGCCCCAGTCCCAGTCCCTGCCCCAGGCCCAGCCTGATCCCAGCTGATAAATGGCTACAAAGACGTTCAATGTGCACCTTCTGTGGCTTTGGGGGAGGTGAAATGTGCTGCTGCTCGGTTTGGTGAGACTCTGAGCGATGTCAGACCAGAGATAACAAAATTGCATTTTCAACCTCCAGAACGCTGGACCAGCTCTTGGGTGAAAACGGGAGGAGGAACTTCAACCCAATCCAACACAAAATATAAATAATTCCTAAAAGAGAAAACCCCCCCCCCCCCGAATTATTCCTCTAGAGAGGCCTCTTTTCTCCTCTGCTCTATTTTTGCAATGAATAGGTTGTGAAAAGGTCGTTCCTTGGCTGCTCTGCCTGAGCATCCCTCCCTGCCCCGGGCTCGGCGTGTTTGGGGTGAAGGAGGGCAGAGCTTTGGACCCTTTCTTTAGGATGAAGCTGAAGGAGTGGGGAAGGGAGACAGAACATGGAATTAAAAGCATGGCCTTGGCTTCATACCACACTTTCTGTGCCTTGTTCTATCAATGTAAATTCTGAATGTTGTACAGTGAAAATACTTGGGAAAGACTCCTTGGAAAAGGCTGCACTGGCTTCTTTTTTCAGCACATGTACATATATAAATATATATACATATATATATATTTGGTAATGCCAACCAGCTGTGTTCTATTGTCCTGGAGAAGTCAAAGTGGACACTTTGGATGTTTTCTGTAGTTTCAGAGCTGTGTGGCCCCGGCCTTTGGACAGAGATGTACAGATGGGAATTATGGATATCAGCTATTTATGAATAAAGAGTCTTTTACTGACACCTGGCCCTGCTGTGCTTTCACTGCTGGGGCCAAACGAGGCAGTGCCGGCCCACACCGAGCTTTGGGGGTGGCCTTGTGCTTTTAATCATTCCTTTAACTGAGAGCAGTGGTGAAAGGCCCCCAAAACCCATCCCAGAGACTGAAGTGGGGAGACAAAGCCCCCAGGATGTTCCCAGCATTAACCCCGAGCGGTGACGATGAGATCCTGGCCATTCATCACCCTGAGGGATAAAATGTCATTAATCCACGCAGAGCAGAGGTGTGGGACAGGTGTGATGGACCAGGAGAATCCTGCAGCGTTCCCCTGCCTGCTCTGGAGCTGCTCCCATCATCAGAGCCCCCCAAACCTGCCCTGATTTATTGTGTTCAGGGAGGTCGTGGCACCGCGCCTTCGGGAACAAACACTTGAGAATGAAAGCGGCTCCTCCCAAGAACTGCGTTCCAAAATCCCCAGTTTTGTGTGGGATCTCATGGTGGGACAGGCTGGGCTGTGCAGGAGGGCTCGGAGCTCCCCAGCAGCTGCTCCAAGGGTGATCTCCCTACAAAATTGGGGAGAGAAGCTCTAAAGAGCAGCCACTGAAATCAGGGAGAGCTGAGAAATTCTCATGGTGGGGAAAAAAAACATCCCTGTCTGTGAGTGTGAAAAAATCAAATATCAGCACACGATGGCCTGCAGGGAGGGCAGAGCCTGCGCTGGGAACATCCAGGATGTTCCAGGGACATCCCAGATCATTCCAGGGACATTTCAGGACATTCCAGGGACATCCCAGATCATTCCAGGGACATCCCAGATCATTCCAGGGACATCCCAGATCATTCCAGGGACATCCCAGGTCATTCCAGGGACATCCCAGATCATTCCAGGGACATCCCAGGGACATTCCAGGGACATCCCAGATCATTCCAGGGACATTCCAGGGATATCCCAGGACATCCTAGGACATTCCAGGGCTGAAATCAATCATCCCAGGACATTCCAGGGACATCCCAGATCATTCCAGGGACATCCCAGATCATTCCAGGACATCCCAGGACATTCCAGATCATTCCAGGGACATCCCAGATCATTCCAGGGACATGCCAGGACATTCCAGGGACATCCCAGGGACATTCCAGGGACATTCCAGGACATTGCAGTGACATCCCAGATCATTCCAGGGACATCCCAGGACATTCCAGGGACATCCCAGATCATCCCAGGACATTCCAGGGATATCTCAGGACATCCCAGGACATTCCAGGGACGTCCCAGGGACATTCCAAGATGTTCCAGGAGCATCCCGGGATGTTCCAGGGACATCCCAGGACATCCCAGGGACATCCCAGGGACACAGCCACCCCCAGGCGGGGCCAGGCTGTGCCCCAGCCCCAGCAGGGATGTGGGGTCCCAGCCTCGCCCCCTCCCCA